GCATCTCAAAGATCCTATTTACTCCTTTCTCCCTTTAAAGAAAAAAAACCCCATATTCCCCTCCTTGTCTCCCTACCACCACAAAAGGAGTGGGAGGCGAGGAAGCTTTCAATTTTTAAAAAATCATTTTCAAGTGACATCGCGCTGAACAGGACCAGCTGAGCTACCAGTTCAAGCGCTAGATTACAAGAGCTTTTTCTAAAAAGCTTTCGCATCCTCTCTGTAGCTTCGTCCTTCACGAGGAAGCTTCCAGTTTCCCAGTAGTCAGTTACATCGTGAAACAGCTTCAGCAAAACCCTTTGGGTCAATCATGGTGATCGCACAGAAGAGAACCAAACTGAAACAGAATGATCCTACACACAGTAGCCCCTGACTGAGACCCAAAAAGGCGTGGGCAAGCAAAGATAAGAGACGGGCTGGTTCATAATTGACTTTACGTCGCGTGGTTGCCAGAAAGAGGAGCGAACCCACCCATTCCCAAGCTGGACCGAGTGAGTCTTGGCACAAAGCCCAATCCGATCACATCCTTCGTTGCCTTTCCTGATCTCTGTTCCAAAAGGTCACTAATTGTTTAGCACAGTCTTCATTTCCTTGTGCATAATAACATTTTGCAGTTTTATTATGCATGTCGCTATTTAATGAACCTTGATCACCTTTTTTTCCCTGATTCTGCAGAAGTCCAATTACAGTACATTTTCATTGGAATGAATTCTCAGGATCCTATTGTGGCTTTCCAGCCAACGTGCAGGTATCACTGGGGGTAGGTGGGATTATTTCTGCATGGAATGCATGCCAGTTTCCCAACGGCTTCCAGCATGTTGCCAGGTAGCTTTAAATGTCTGTGGAGGGCAGATCTTTGCATTGAGATGAGCTGATGCAGAGACACCCCTGTGTGAATGGAATCTCTCTGTGCTTTCTTTGAAATCTACTAAGGTTCTACAAAGAGAACCAAAACATTTCTATTTTCAGAGTAAAAACAGGCAGATCTCTAGCAGATGTTTGCAGTAAATATTTTCTATGTGACTGGCTTTGGGACCCATGTTCTTCCACTATTTAACTTCTTTGGCAGTGTTCGTTGGCTCTCCACCACCCGTTTGGGTGTTTTTTTAATTTACATATATATATAAGAATCAATTTCTTCCTTGAAATAATGATACTAGCAAATCGGGGACCACATAGCCGATGAGAAACGTTGCAAAGCCAATTCAGAGTGAGGACAAAGTTTGTTGCATAATCAGCAAGAGAAATGACAAAGCCAATCCAGAATGAGAGGAGGGCTTCTCACATACCTAATTAGGAGCAAAACAAAGCCAATTCAGAGTGAGGACAAAGCTATCTTTCTGCAGAATTGTAAACAAACCCTTTGGGGGGAGGGAGTAAAAAAATCCTAAAAAGTACGTTTGTTTCCGGTGGGAAAAATAATTGTAAAAAAAATCATTCAGACTACAGTACTGTATTTCCATTAAAAAATTATAAAGAGAGTTTGTTCCTACTTGAGGTGAAGAAAGGATAATATTTATGCATATGGAAGAACGAGAATAATAGCTGCCTCAAATTTTAAAAGGACTGACTTGTAATTAGAAGTGATCATTGAATGAGAAAAGTACACAGATGTTTGGTGTTCTTGACAATTTTATGTTATAGGAGTGATGTCATCCATACTCTAAAAACGCTGTAGGCCAGGGACATGGATAACTATCAAGAATTAGTGATCCTTCTTAAGACATAAGAGGAAATAATTTCAACATGGCTATTAGGGCCACATGATTACATTTAGTCATAAAAGCTCTTTGACCTCATTTTCTCATCACCGCACCAAAGGCTGTTGGTTGTGGTGATATTTGAGAGGCTACAAAAGTGAAAACTGGCATCTTTGTATGTTCTGGTGTTTCTCGGCTGAAAAACCAATGACCTACTTGGGGTCTTTCCTAGAATGGCTTGACTCAGAGGCCATCCTCGGGCTGAATTCTGAGGTGGTTCGTACCAATTACCAACTCCCTCAAAAGTTACAAGTCCTGCACTCCAGCAGCAAATCTATATACCATAGGACTCCCTATCCGCGGGATCAGTATCCACTGATTCACTTATCCGCTGTCTGAAAATACCAAATAACCCCTCCACACCCACTCATCGAAATACCTATTTATATAGATTTCCAGGGTGTATTTATCAGAGCTGGCCACTATAGGGTGCCAGATACCATGCAGTGCATAGTACTCCCTACTTCCATGTTTTTCAGCATCCACATGGGGGAACCCCTGTTTCATGCAAAAGTGTGGACTGATTTTCACCAGATCTAGAGGGCTCTTTTTTTTTAAAGATTTGAAAACCAGGCTATGTGGCATACATATTTGTGGGGGGGGGCTCAGAGCTGCCTCGATTATTTTCTCTCCTCTACACAGCATCCAACATTCCAACTTGAGCAGATTTCAGAATTGCCCATGCTTTTACTAATGCCCTCGTTTTCTGGACTGGTCAGACTCTAAATATAAACTGGGGCCTCATCATGAGTGGAAGCATTCTGGGAAAGATATTCTTCAAACCAGTCTGCCACTCAGATTTTGTCCCAGCAAATTAGAGAACACGTTGCCAATAGGAATCCTTGCAAAGCCGATTCGGAGTGAGGGCAAGGCTGGAAAATGCTTAAACGAATACCAATATAAAAATGAGTGATAAAGAAAGAGAGACCAGCGTGTAAAAAATAAAAAGGAGGTGCCCAGAGAAGAGAGAGGGCATTTGGGTGAGGTTGGGATTCATTTTAATTGGGGCAAAGCCATCGGCTAGTCAATTATACGAGGATGACTAAATGTTTACTTCCTTAGCCTAGTTGGTTCATACTTGTTTATAGGAGCATTGGGGGAAGGGTTGACTTGAGTATTGATTATATGCAATGCCCTCATCAAAGGATGTTTTTCTGTTTAGCCAGTCACCAACTTCCATTTATAAAGCTTTAATTGGGACATGTGCTTCATCAGAAGTGCATGTACCAAACAGGAAGACAGAGGACGATGGGAGATCAGATTCTTAGATGATCCTGGCTGTTAATGAGCAAGAGTCACGGACAACCTCGGTGAGCCCTTCGGATACCCAGAACGGTACCTGGCAAAGGAGAAAAGCAAAATCTGATTGAGCGAAACACAGACTTAGTCGATGGAGTCACTCCCTTGATCCATCACAATCGTGTGTAGTCGACAAAGATGGTCCCCTTCTCCTGAAGAACAGAGGCAGGAATCTTTCTTAGCTGGAGAACTAACTTGTCGCGGCTCCTATTCTCACGTTCCAAGCCGGTTCTTCTCTGTTTGCTGTGTTTTTGTGCCTGCCCACACTTCGGTTTTCAAACAGAAAGGCCGTGAGAGACTTTTGAGGAAAAATTGTGGACAACTGGGAAGGATGAAGGAAAGCACCTTGAGCGCGAGAGAAGGCCTCTCACAGGGCTTTCTTGCTCAGATGTCATGTGGAAACTGTCTAAACTGAAATGAACAAGGGAGGTAGAAAAACCCTGTTTCCATCCATATTCCTAGCACACCCCTGCACAGTTCTGTTTGTAACTTTTTCCTGCAGATGTTGGCTTCCATTCCCTGAGGAAACCTCCCACCCAACCTGAGGCATTCTGGGAGTTGTAGTCATTTCCCCCAATCTTTTCAGACTGTTCACCCTCCAGATACCTGCCTGCTTCTGGACAGGCTGCCGTTTTTGAGGGCCTTCTTAAAAGGGCGTTTCACCGTGTGCTGCCGGGCTGTTTCTGACGTATAGGGGACCCTAATTGGGTTTTCCAATTAGATGTTCAAGGAGGGGCTTCTCATTGGCCTTTTCCGGTGAGTTCCTATGGCCAAGGGAGGATTTGAACCCAGTTCTCCTGAGTCCAGAAGCTGATCCTTCTCGGTTGTGGCACCAGTCATTTGCAACCAGCTCCCAGTTAGTGGAACTCTGCCTGCCCGTTTTGAGAAGGTTTCTCAAGATCCTGTTTTCACCACAGAGGCCTTTAATGGCAACCGGCCACGAACCTGCCGTTGGCCCTTGTCCGGCCAGTTATGGGTTGATGTTCTCAACTCGTCTGCCTCATAAGGCTTGAGTTGATTTGTTTTATTCTTGCCTTTTTCTTATCATTGTTTTTGTCTGATTTACTGTTACAGTTTGCCTGACTTTACTGATGGTTAACTGCCCAGAATAGTGCTTTGCTCTAATTGGGCAGTATAAAGATAAAATAAAATAAATAATAGTGACCCTAAAGGGACTTTCAAGGTAAGTGAGATATTTAAGGAGATATTTAATCAACACTCAAACTCTACCCAGCCAGAAGAACCAGGGATCATTGCACAAAAGGCACCAGCTAAAGACACCCATTAACCACAGTGACAGATAATCTCTCCTCCCCCCTTATCACAACAAAAACATGCTGATCATCCTATCTCTTGAAAAGGACAAAAGCTGTTCCCACAGCTATAAATACTCAACTATCCAACAAACAGCAACAGAGCATGAACAGAGTTCCTACTCCAGTCCTCTGAAGATGCCGGCCACAGAGACTGGTGAAACGTCAGGAAGAACAAACTTCAGAACACGGCCACAGAGCCCAGAAAACCCACAACCACCATTAACCCTCAGTGAGTTTCCAGGCCAGAGTGGTGATTCGATCCCAGATCTCCGGAGTGCTAGTCCTTCAAGCACTGCACCACACTGAGCATTCTAGACATAAGCAAGAGGGTTGACACATTTGCTACCTTTAAGAGTTCTTACAGGCAGAATCCCATTAGGAAATGAGAAGCATTAACTCTCAAAGGTGTAGCGCTCTGTGTGAGCTTGAGGTTGCTGTTGCAGGAGGCAGAAAGGGCATCTCCATGCACAAGATGGAAGGAAACACCCCTCTATAAACATGCAAGGCCAAAAACAACAACAGTGTGGGCTATGGACTTTTGCGCATCTGGCGAAAAACAGAGAAGATTCTTACTGTTACGACCTCCGTCTTATACCTTGATTGAACCGTCGGAATTTACACTCACCACCTTTTCCAGCTTCGAGGCCAGTCTCCTGAAGCCATCTGACGTTGGGTCGCTGTAGCTCGAACTGTAAGCTTCGTTCAGCAGGCGGAACGAACCCTGGAAATATTGACGGGTGTCATTTCCACCGGTTGGATCAGCCACCTCAAGAGTTGAAAATGGACGTTGAGAAGAGATAAAACCGAGAGATGAAGTTGGCGTCCATGAAGTGGAACGAGTGAGGGCCTCTGGGAGGCTTGGCCTCCCCACTGGGAGACGGGTGCGTGGACTCAGCTGAGCTGGGGGACTCAACGACATGGCTGAAGCGGAATGACCGAGAGGTGACCGATTTATGGCTACCGTCGACAACGGAGGAGTTACCAAGATGGTGCCTTGCGCCGTGTCTTGTAGGGAAGATGGTGCTGCTGAGGAGAACGGAGAAGGCTTCAGTTTTGCAGGTGTGGCAGACTGCTGTGGAGAAGTTAGCTTTGCTCTCGTGGTTGGGTGCTGAGGCAATGGTTGAGTCATGTGATAAAGTGAAGACCTCCATTTTGTAGCTAAACTTCCCATTGAGGAGAACTGAGAAAATTTTAGTTTTGTGGAAGACCGCCATCTTGTAGCTAAGCTACCTGCTGGGGAGAACGGAAAAGATTTTAGTTTTGCAGATGTGGCAGACCACTGTGGAGAAGTTAGCTTTGCGCTCATGGTTGGGTGCTGAGGCAATGGCTGTGTTGTGTCATAAAGTGAAGACCTCCATCCTGTAGCTAAAGTTCTCTGAGAAGAAGACCCTCCCGTGGCTGAGGTTTGGTTTCGTGAAGAGGTCAAAACTGTTGTATTTTGTTGAGGAAATGTTGGTCTTTCAGTGGAGGTGAGGTGTTGAGGGGATACCACCTTCGTCGCTGTGGCGAGCTGATGCAAGGGAGTCTTTTCTGGGGCCAAGGTTAGCTGGTGTGGAAACCCCCAACTCAAGGATGATGTTGGTGGCCGCTGTGAAGACCCCGGTGTCATGGCTGAAGTAGGCCTTGTGGCAACCATGATTTGTGTCCATGGACTGGACTTCTCCATGGGGAGTTGAGGAGGATCTTGTATCTTCCAAGCTGAAGTGAGAGGGGATGTGGGCTTTACGGGGTCCATAGTTGGCAAAGAAACCATCTCATTTGTGAGTGGGGATTGAGAAAGATGTCCAAGAAGTCTTCCGGGAGGCACTGGGGTGGTGGTCTCGTTGCTCCAGAGTTCAGGTTTATTCTCAGCATATTTGACTGGAAGATCGGCGAATTCTGTAGCACGATGAGAAAAAAAAATCACTATTAGCTCTTTAAGTTTAAACTTTCCTCAGCCCTCATATTTATGTCCGAACGATTCATAGGTACAAGTGAGATGTCCAAAAATAAAGTACAGACTGTGTAAGGGAAGAGCCAGAGACAAGATGACCTTGGACAGCAGGAAACATCGCCATCTTCACTCACAGGGGAAAATTGCAGATGGAATTGATTTGTCTGAAATATGGTGCTGGAGGAGAACTTTGGGGACATGCTGGGACCACCAGAAAGGCAAACAAGTGGGTCCGAGATCACATCAATCTTGAACAAAAATGTTGAAACTGAGCCTGCCTTGCTTTGGACGCATCCTGAGAAGGCAGGATTCTCTGGGAAAGACTGTAATGCTGGCAAAAGCTGAAGGCAGCAGGAAGAGAGGCAGACCAAAATATGAGATGGGCTAACTCCCTCAAGGAAGCCCTAAGGCTTGAGTTTGTAGGAGCTGAGCAGGGCTGCTAAGGACGAGACATTCTGGAGGCCACTTGTTCATAGGGTCACCCTAAGTTAGATGTGACTTGACATCTAACTTAGGTAGCCACAACCATCTTGCCTGCCACTGAAGTTTTCAAACTCAGCCACCTGTCAGAATTAACAGGTGAAAGCCTGCAGCTGAATACAATGAGTGCAATCCACATTTTGAAGAGTTCAGAACTCGGAGCTGTACGGTTCTGTCCGTTTTGGATGCTCCGACATTTGTTTTTCAAAAAAAAAATTCACCTCCTTCCCATCTCAAATGTAAAGGAGTTTGCCCATTTCACTGCTGTTTGGTCAAAAAAGGTATTGAGCCCAGTTCCTTCCCTTGTCTCTCCTTATCTACTGTGCTGACAAGTTTGGGGCGAGTTTCTTACCTAGAAAATATCGCAGGAGAGTGATGATGCTGGCCACCAGCATCAGAAGCAGGAATCCACTGAGGACTTCAATGCAACAGTAGCAGCAATGCAGGAACCTCCGTCTGGGCTGCACGAGGACCAACCAGAACCAATCAAAGAAATAAAATAAAGTCATTTCATTGTAACCCCAAACCTACCTTACACTGAATCAAGCCAAGTGCCTGTGTGTTCCAGCAGTCTGTCCGTATCTCAGAAATACCATATTTTCTGTGTATAAGACCTAAAGTAATTTCATTGTAACCCCAAACCTATCTTACACTGAATCAAGCCAAGTGCCTGTCTGTTCCAGCAGTCTGTCCATATCTCAGAATCACCATATTTTTCTGTGTATAAGACGCCCCCCACTTTTCTGACCCAAAATTAAGAAATCTAAGTGGGGCTTAGCGAGTGGAGGGGAAAGCAGCAATCAAAGCCCTGCAGGATCACTTTGACCCCTGCTTTCCCCTCCACTTGTTTTTGTTCTCTCCTCATCTTACTTCCATGTATAAGACGACCCTCAATTTTTAGTCTAAAGATTTTAGACAAAAGTATACATGGAAAAATACGGTAGGTCATGGAAAATCAGTTAATTCACCCAATCTGTTATATTTTTCAGCAAGAGGTTAAACATTTAGACATTTTGGTTTCTAATTTGCCAAAAGATGCCATTTCAATCTTACTTGTGACACTGATTCAAGTGGAAGGATTCGACCGTTTGACAAACCATACATCAACACACGACTCTGGGGTTTAAGTATCTGGCTGTGGATACTTAAACAAGGCTGGGAGTTCAAATTCCCACCGACGGGGCTGGATTGGATGATCTAGGGTCCCTTCCGGCCCTGCAGCTCTGAGATTATTTAAGAGATATATCCAAACATGAATCAGGGAGGTGTGGAATTAAGATTTCATGACATTCAACGAACAAGGTTCCCCATACCTTTTAAAACTAACGCTGTTGCGCTATTGCTTAACATTTCTGATGTTTCGCACCATGCTCAGCCAGGCATTCAGGGAGAGCCCCATGCAGAGGTGAAAAGAAAGGGGTACGTTCTGTGGTTTGTTCCCAGAAATATGTGTTCTGTTTTAGCGGACAGGTGACGATCACACTTCTGCATCTCTCATCGCTGAGAACTGCCTAATCCCACCCAACGGGAGCCTCGTGGTGCAGTCGAACCTCTCCTCAATCGCAAGGAGCAGGCTTGAGATTCACTCAGCCTTCCTTCCATCTTTCTGAGGTTGGTAAATTGAGTACCCAGCTCGCTGGGGTGGCAATGTGTAGCCCACAGAGAGCTTTAAGCACTTGTGTGTGTGTGTGTGTGTGTGTGCGTGCGCGCGCGCACACACACACACACACAGATGTAAACTACACTATGCTCCATCATAGTTGAAATACCAGTCTGTCATGTGAGCCCAATGTCTGTAACTTAGAGATTCAGAAACACCTGCTTTCCGCAGGTGCTGTCTGCGCTGGAAGCAAAACAAATCCTCAGAAATGGATCCTTGCCGTTCTGCTGGGGGCAGAAAGTGGGATTTCCCAGGAGGAAATGTTCCCCCTTCGCTTTCAATCCTGCCCTCTCAAGCAACGGCAGGCAAGCCTGGGCTAGCTTGGGGGCAATAGCCTTCGGATGGCTTTCGAAACAAGAGCCTTGTGTCATACACCACGAGGAGGAAATAACTCCCAAATCGGCAAGAGGCCAATTCCTTTTTAAAGACCCATTTACCTGCATCGAAGCCCAGTGGTTTAGGTCTTTGGCTGCAGAGCCAGAGGTTGGGAGTTTGAATCCACCCATGGGGCCTCCTGGCAGAAGAGCCAGCCTGGGTGGCCTTGGGCCAGCTGCACCGTCCCAGGGACCCGCCCTCCCAGAAGAAGGGAATCGGACACCAGTTCTGTATCCTTTCTACCTAGAAAACCTTCAGAAGGGTTGTCCTAAGTCAGAATTGACTCAACCGCATGCAATGATTATATTATTCCCTGCCTTGAGCAGGGGGTTGGACTGAATGTCCTTACAGGCCCCTTTTGACTCCATGATTCTATGAAGCTACCATGCCGCTGCAGTGGGCGGGTTATGGAGCTTTCCTGAAATCTTCATGAAATGCATGGAAAAAGATCACTGCCCTTGGTGCCATAGGCAGTGGAGAGAAGAACGTGACACCCCCCCC